GGTCCGAGTTCGGCGTGGCGACTCGGGCCGGCACGAACTCGACTGACACGGCTTAGCCAATGCACGAGTTTGAACGGTGCCACGGTCACTGACGCAGGGACGTGCTTGGACCACGGTTAACAGAACGACGCGTAGACGGCGGGTCGGATGGACTCGGTGCACGGGCACGCACTCGGGGGTTGACTCGGACTCGGCGCACGGGCACGCACTCGGCGGTTTCGGTTCCAACGGTCGGACGAGAGACGGTCACGGGCAAGAGACGACGATACGCATTATGAATTATGATACGACGACTAATAATTATCCTGACGATACTAGGGTTCAGACAATTGTAATCGGATCCGAGAAAAATACCCAGATATCAGAACTGGATAAGACTAGGGTTTTGATTTCTCAAAAATCCTAACTCATTTAAAGCCGATAATTAATATATATATATATATATTCTATGTGATTTATAATGATTTTAAAATCAACAACTGCAACTAAAATCTCAATCAAACGAATATTTTATTTTTACCGCATTAACGCCTAAAGTCCCGATTTTTATAACTAAGTCAAACAACATCCAAAATTTATGAAAATCGAAACATAACATCCTCAATATATGTATGGTCCACGGTCAACACATCAAGTCCAAGTTCAACTCCTAACTTAGTCAACTCACAATTGCTACGACCGATCAACGCATTTGACCGGCTCGTTTACCTACCAAACAATGTCCGAAAATTCTCAAATTTCAACCTAAGCCTCAAAACGACGCAACGAATTTTATGATATTTATTTCGGTATTTTATCACATATGTTTCAAAAGTCGAACATATTAGCTTTAAGCTCGAAAATCCCGATTTATTCAAAATCGCTCAAATCACCCAAATCATTAATTTTATATCATCTCAAATATTTTATCTAAGCCATTGGAGTCGAGATTAAGCTAATATACCTCAAATCGATCGAATCGGGTGGATCGAAAAATAGACGGGTAAGAAAATGAAGGAGATGGAGCAACCGGTTCGGAACCAAGGGCCATGGGCGCGCATGGAGGGTCGCTGATACGATGTACGACTGTGTGGGGTTGCTGAGCTGCTGAAAAAGAGTTGCTGGTCGGGTCCCGATAGAGCTGGTTGTCGGAAAATGGTACAAGCTCGGGCTTGGAGGCGCGTGAACAGTAACTGCGGGCCTGGTGGCGTGAAATCGCCGAAAAAATGGGTGGCTGGCCTTGGTTGGTGATGGAGACAAGCTGCCGACGACAAGGGTCGCGAGATGGAGCTGAAACCGAGCTGCTACAGTGACTCGACGGGAGGTGGCAGCGG